TAGCCTACTGTCAAGACAGCCAACCAGGAACTTGGAAGCATTAAGTCTAGGTTGAACAGGCTTGTTGACTCCTTATACATTATTTCTCACCCTGCTCTGGTCCTGAACAAGAAGAGAAGTGGACTGGCGAGGCCCCTGAGTTGTTTATGTAGAAAATGCCTCCTACTAGGAAGCTGGGTGTCAGTGTCCTGAGGTCTACAGCACAGTTTGAACGGCCCTAGTCCACAGGCAGGGTGGAGACCAGGGCACACCAGAGCCACTGGTGTATCTCAGAGACCCTCCCAGCTTGGTCATGGTCCTGCTCAGTCCATACCAATTCTCCTAGCCCACCGGTCCTGAAAGTGACCTTTATTCTGACATTCATTCCTTCAAATTTGTAGCTTTTTTTTTTTTTTTTTGTCAGTCATGGGGCTTGAACTCTGGGCCTGGGCGCTGTCCCTCAGCTCTTCAGCTCAAGGCGAGTACTCTACCACTTGAGCCACTGTGCCGCTTCCAGTTTTCTGAGTGGTTTTATTGGAAATAAGAGCCTCACAGACTTTTGTGCCTGGGCTGGCTTTGAACCACGATCCTCAGATCTCAGCCTCCTGAGTAGCTAGGATTATAGGCGTGAGCCACTGGCCCCCCGGCTTGTTGTTGGCTTTTTTTGAGACAGGGTCTTGCTATGTATCCCAGGCTGGCCTCAAACGTGCACCCCTTCTGCCCCATCTTCCCACGATGGGCTCACAGGTGAGCTCACCAACTTTTCAGGGTGACTCAAGTCAAAGAATGGTGCAAAGCGCTCCCCACATTTCTAAGAAGGCAGCAATGTGACATGGCGAGGCCAAGGCCTCTTTTCTAAGAGGGTCCTGCGGACTTCAAAGACCCCTACCCCTGTCTTGACTAGCTGCTGTCTGGAGGGTTAGGATACAAAGGCCATCCAGTTTGACTTAAAAAAATCCATCTTAGCTACTCAGGAGGCTGAGATCTGAGGATCATAGTTCAAAGCCAGTCCAGGCAGGAAAGTCGTGAGACTCTTCTCTCCAACAAACCACTAGAAAACTGGAAGCAGCACTGTGGCTCAAGCGGTAGGGCACTTACCTTCAGCTGAAGAGCCGAGGGACAGCGCCCAAGCCCAGAAGTCAAGCCACGAGACAGACCAAAAAAAAAATCCATAAGTAAACTGGGTGCTGGTGGCTCACTCCTATAATCCTAGCTGCTCAGGAGAGGCTGAGATCTGGTGGGCTGCAGTTAAGAGGCCAGCTCAGGAAGAAAAATTCACTAGCCTGCATTTCCAAAATTACCAGCAATCAACAGGGCTGGAAAAATAGCTCAAGTAGTAAGAGTACTAGCTAGCAAGCAAGTCCCAAGCAAGGGTGAAGCTCTGAGTTCAAATCCCAGTACCAAGAAAGAAGTCCTAAAATAAGCTGTTGGTTGTGGTGAATGTCTGTAACCTTAGCACCTGGGGAGCTCAGGCAGAAAGGCCTTGAGCTCAAGGAAATGAACCCCCCAAATTCCTATGTAAATTATCAGAGCTTGGGGGCTGGGAAGGTAGCTCAGCGGTAGAGTGCATGCCTTGCAAGCATGAGGCCCTGGGTTCAATTCCTCAGCACCACATAAACAGAAAAAGCCGGAAGTGGCGCTGTGGCTCCAGTGGTAGAGCACTAGCCTTGAGCTGAAGAGCTGAGGGACAGCGCCCAGGCCCAGAGTTCAGGCCCCATGACCGGACCCAAAAAAAAATGTAAAAAAAAAAAAAATCATCAGAGCTTACATTTGGGTCAGTGTCTTCCTTGTGGACAGCGGCCCTTGCTCCCTGGCAGGACACGGTAACATTATGTTCGTCTGTCTCAGTGCAAACATGCATGGCGAGGCCATACCTGCCAGGCACCACCTGAAGAATCATGCTCTCCCTGGACAGCGTAATGTGTCACCTGTTCAGAATGTGCCCTTACTGCATCCCTAACTGGCTCCCTCTGCATGGCTCCCCTCTCATTTTTCCTACTGAGGCCACAGTTCTCGGAGGTGAGGCAGGAAACTCAGAGTCAGCCCTGGCTCCTCCCTCCTCCTTCTCCCCTTTAAAGTTGAGGAGGCTCCCAGAGGTGCCTCACCTCTCACAGGCATCTTCCTCTGGGACTTGCAGCCACCACCTAGGACCAGGCTCTCATGAGCTCCCCATTAGACGCCCATGACAGCTTCTGTCCACACAGGTGACTTGCTCACACTGCAGTCCCTAAGCTTTCCTGCTCAGGCTGGCTTTGAACTGCAATCTTCCTTTTGGGTAGCTAGGATTGAGAAATGATCACTGTTTGGAGGCAAGTTGGATGAACAGGATGAAGGGACTGTCTTAACTGAGGGTGGTGTGTGGGCACAGCCATGACTGAGCCAATAGTGAGGATGCAGTTCTCCAGAGGGGAACTTCCCACATCCCGCAGAGAGGCTACACTGTCAAGCTGGGTGCTGGTGGCTCACTCCTGTCATCTGAGGATTTCAGTTTGAAGCTAGCCCAGGCAAGAAAGTCCATGAGACTCCTATCTCCAATCAACCACCAGAATGCCAGAAGTGGAGCTGATAGAATACCAGCCTTGAGTGAAAGAGCTAAGGGACAGTGCCTAAACTTTGAATTCAAGCCCCCATTAAAGGCACACAGGCGTGCACGCTCACACGCACCCACGCACAGAGTCAACACTGTCACAGATGCAGGAATTTCTGGATAGCCACACAGAGTGAACCTATAATAGATCAGGGCTGCCTAGAGTAGGGATGGACCTGGGAGATAATCGGTCTGGGACTCTGCTTCCCCATCTGTGAAATC